CATTATAGAACTACTACTCCTCATGCGATCAAGAGTTTGTTCCAGGAAACAAAATCATCTGTTTATCTGCAAGTTATTGATCCGCAAATCAACTAACAACTGGTCCCATTCACTACTAGGTAAACAGAAGCGTGTGGAGTAAGGAAACCTGTCTAAGGTTTCTCCCCCCACCCCACCCAGAAATTGAACCTGGTCCTCCTGATCCTGTTTTCACCCACTCCTTACTCATTCCCATACTTAAGAGATACTTCGCTGTCAGAATTCAATTATACAGCAATCTCTGCAGGATCACTGACAAAACAAAGAGGAGCAAGTAAGTGCCGGAACCCCTCGACTATATCCAAAGGATCTGCACCAAACAATTAACTACAGGTCCTTTCTTTCATCCCATGTTCTTTGATCTGAGGTTGGATCCATTGTATTGTATGCCTGAGGGTGACCAAGACCAGATGGCAAGGTGATAATGTTCTCAGGCCCCTTTTTTAAAAAATTTTAACCTTGGCTTTAAACAATCCATTGGACATACTGCATTATCGGGGACGTGCCTACATTGATACATGTTTTTGCTGTCACAAATCATCCAAATGATTTACTTACGCTTTATTCTACCAACACCCTAGCCTTGAACCCATCGAATAACACCCACCTAAGACCTTGTGTAGCAGAAGTAGAAAGTTAACAGCATCAATCAGCATCACTAATGTTTTACCACAGTGAGCGAGATTCCCCACTTTAACATTTTACTTCACATGAAGTAGACTGACTATGTAGCAATGTGATGGAACTAGAAACTGAGAATGCTGGAAATATGAAATATAAAAGCACGTGCTGGAAACCCACAAGTCCAATAGAAATGATTCATTAAACTACATTTCAATTCTGATGATGGATCATATCTAAAAGATGAACCTATTCTACTTTCAGGTGTTGATAGCATGCTGCATATTTCCAGCAGAGATGATTTTTAATGCCCCAGTGGACCATTGATCAACAAAAAGATTCTACCCGAGATCTATAACCACTGTTGAGTCTGTCACAAAATACGTTTGGTATAAGTTGTGTTCACTTATTGCATACACTCAACACTGCAATCCTTTATTTAAAGTACTCATCTGGTTGATTTAACAGGTCGTTTGTTCTCCATTGATTTACAGAACATAATGCATCACTACCAAAAAATACAAGAGCATTTAAAAGAATGGAACACATTTCCAACGTATTTTTAGCTTTTTTTAAATTTTATCTTCAACAAAACAATGTCCTCATCCAAGAAATAGGCAACAGCAAAAATCACATCTTAGTTTTTCCCCCTGGTCTCCCTTAGTGTTCAAATCATCGACGGTCATGAGGAAATGAATTGCATTGCATTTCTGGATTAATAGATATATGGAGAGTAAAGAGAGAAAAATCACAAATTTATCATTTCAAACAAAAAATGTTAACATGAAATTTACCTCTAATAGGGTAGAAATGTTGTACCTGTACCCTCCAAAAGCTTCACATGGATATCAGCATTGACATCACACCTTATACACCTTGATTTGCTAGAATTAGGAATGGCTAATAAGGACTCCGAGTTGCAAATGGGAATTCTTTCTGGTAACTCGTACCTCACATTGCCCTCAGGAACTCTGTTCCAGGAGTACATTATGACAGGATGAGATCCTACCATTCGGTTGCAATTTACATGAAAGAATCCCCATTTATAACAATGTCCTCAGTGAGGAAGTCTGTCAGAAATATTACACTCTATAACTAGGTGAACAACCTTGTAGAAGATCTAGGTTAGATCATTAGGCTATCATATATTCCTATATACCTTCTGTGAAGCACTTTGAGACGTCTTGAAGACGTGATAAGATGCTACATCAAATGCAAGGATTATTTATTATTATACCATAGATGGGAAGTGGTACTTAAGATTAATTGATTTGTGTTGATTTATTAGAGTATTATTCTCATTAAGCAATCAATCAATCAATAAATATGCCTCATTAGTGTAATTGGGATTTTAGTCACCATCAACTGAGGTAAAAAGACTGAAAGGGGCTTGAGCAGTGAGTTGCCCACATTAGAGGTGCTTAAAAGGAAGTCCCACTGTGTACTGAAATGTTGCAAGTTGAAAGTGAGCTGGACAAATTGCAAAGAATCCATTTTGTACTGCGACCATAATAATAATACTTGTATTTGATATAGCACCTCATCACCTCTTTGAGACATCTCAAAGCGCTTCACAGAATATACTGTAAAGTGAATTGACTGTATATTTTGTCGGTAAAACATGGCAGTTTTACAGCCGTATCTCAAGAACAGCAGTATCTCACGAACAGGAAACTTGGCCAGTTTCCCCTTGCCCGGGAATCGAACCCACGTCCTCTCGCTTGCGAGGCAAGTGCTCCAACCACTAAGCTACAGGACTCCACTCACAGGGATCACACAGTGTAGCCTTTAATGACTGTCTCATCTAATATACTGATCCAAAAAGACACATGCATCACAAACCAAAGCATGATTTATAATGGCATGCAGAAAGCTTGGAATCCGCAATTCGGTCAAACTATGTGCCACATAGAGAAACTCATCATCAATGTTTAAGATTATCCAAACCAGACAGGGTTCCATATATATATATATATAATATAAAAAATACACACACACCATTTAAACAGGCAAATTTCCCTGTATCTGGAAGATGCAGGTTGACAAAAGCCAAAGATTGAGAACCCCAGAGTTGTGCAAACTTCCAGCTGCTTGCCCATCTAAGACCATCCTACTTGTTAGGGCATTGGCTTGCAGGGTTAACAGGAGCAGAGTGGAAAGAATTCCTGCTCCCAGTTTGCCCCTTCAAGTGTTGCTGTTGAGCCAGCAACTGTCACGACCAGTGCTCCAGAGTACTATTAGTCCACCTTGTTCATGAACTATTAAGCCAGAGGGTTGACTTGATTCTGACATTCCCTTGCCAAGCGTCACTTTGGAGCCAGTTCAGCTGCAAGGAGACCCATTTACCTCACAAGGAGAATAGTCACAAGTTCTAACCAACTAAACCAATTAAAGTGGTGATATTTCTTTGCCCATTATTCTATTTTGAAAACCAAAAATAAGTCACGTTCGTCATTTTTATACCTGGGCAGGGGATTTGCATCCTTAAAGTTAATTGAAGTGAATTAAACCATTTTGTTTTTAACCCATATAGTGACCTGCATAATGGCACCAGGAGGAGATCAAGAAGAAAGCCACAAAGATTACGTGCACACAATGCTGGTAATTGTGTGGCCTTCATCTTAAGCATTGGCTTAGTGATACAACTGCCAGGTCACAATTGGGCAAACATAGGTGAAAATCCCATCTTAAGCAGGCATCAAAGTTGCTACACTTAGCGGCAAAAGGAATTTATTACTTTTAATAAATACCTTTTTGAAAAATCTCAGTAAAGGCAACTTCATCTAATAATATAAAAAGCACCAGAGAAGCAGAGATATTCAGCTGTGTTTACAAATCTAAATTGTAAGACTTTGCTGCTGTTTCTACATGCCTCTGGGTCTAGACAACAGTTTAGCACTACTGACCCACAACAGCTGGTGTCGATTATGTGAATCGCAGCACTTTTTATTGAAATTCTTGTGGAGTTGCACTAACGTACAGTACATACGTTCTTGGTTTGCTTCCCCGGGCTCCATCTGAAAGCAGTCAGAAACTGCAGAATTGTGCCTTTTAATGTGGAAAAACATTTCAGCTAGTATGTTAAGTACAAGTGATAACCGATCTGAAAAGACAAGCATTTGCCAGTTGGGTAAAAGTTGAGGCTGGCCCAAGCTCAATGACTGAAACTGGAAAGGTTCTACAGTATACTGAGATGTTACATGATGGAAGTGAGCCGCCCAAATTACTGGCTCTCAATATGTATCTCACACAGAATGTTTTGGGTACATCTGCCATGGCATTGCCATTTTGGATGAAGCTTAGTTACAGTATTTTGAAGCAATGCCCGAGTGAAAGGTGCTAATATAAATGCAAGTTATTGTTGTTTCTTCAACTCTAAACATGCAGGTATTATAATAAACCTTATGTTTAATATAATTTGGGATGACATCTCAAAGAGCTTCATGTGATTTACTGTATTGACTGCAGTGATTGTGTCTTTTGTAGGTGAACGTCTACAAATATAGAATAGCCATGAAGTTTCCAGTACTAAGCTGCAGTGGACTACAAATAGGTTGGTTATTTATGTGCTAGTGAACATGAATCATCTCCAAATTTGACGATCCAAAGGCCAAAAATTCCTCAAGTTTTAAGACCACTGTCTGAAAATGTTAGGATTGCAAATATTGTAAAATTCTTAAATTCTGAAGTTGGTTTTCCAAAGCAACTTAGAAAATGAGCTTCCGAATTAAGATTCAACTGAACAATTTTCCATTCTTAACATAACATAACATGTAGGAGCAGGAGAAGGCCATTCGGCCCTTCGAGCCTGCCCAGCCATTCAATCATGGCTGATCTTCTAATCTAACTCCAGCTAATATCATAACCCTGCCTTATCTCCATATCCCTTAATCCCTTTTGCAATTCTGTACAATCTTAAATTGTAAGTCTGAAGGGTAAAACTGTAAAAAATGTCTGGCTTGAGCCCACCAGAGAGGTTTGACTCAATTCCAATATTTAATTGTCAGGTTTGTCACCTTAGAACCAATTGAGCCATGAGGTGACACACTTACCTTTCCCCCACCTCCCAAGGATAAAGTACCAGTTGATCATTATACATCTGCCAAGCTCCTCTTTGAGCCCTTGCTAGATGGATAGCAGGTACCATGAACTCCTCACGAGCAGAACAACTCTAACAAATGTTAGATTTAGAAAGATTTAGACTTAGAAACATTATAAGAGTACAGACTTGAAGAACGATTTTGTTTGGCAAAAATTAACATTACTGAGCTGAATTTGATCTGTGAAGAGTTGAACATATCACTTATTAATCGTTTAATGATGAGATCCTCTTACAGTACCTGCTAGCATTGATGTAATCTTTCCTGTGCTCCAGAAGGAAATCCTTTAATTTGCTGATGTTAGCGACCTAAAATATAAAAGAAAACATAAAATATTACATAAGATATAAATTACCCAACAAAAGTATTAACCCTTTGAAAACTAAAGCAGTGTGGGACACTGCTGCATGCAATTGGCTGCCGCACTTTGCCCACAAAATATAGTGAATTCACTTTTCAGTATATTCTGTGAAGCACTTTGAGACGTCTCGAAGATGTGATAAGGCGCTATATCAAATGCAGGATTATTATTAGTAGAAGTGTAGTTAAGTTTAGAAACAAACTTTAGAAATTTGTTTTGGTTGACTTCATTCTGATATTCTGTTGCCAAGCATTTCACCTTAGAGCTGGCTCAGCTCCAAGGAGATGCCAATTACCTCCCCCTCCCTCCACCCGCACAAGGACAGTGTGATACTATACCACAGGATCAGGTTTTACCGACCACACATTACAAAAGACAGTGTAATAAGGCAGAAACACTGTTCTAACATAAGTGGCGATTCAGACTGACTGTGCTGGTGTGAGATGGAAGTGCATGGGGAGTTACAGCCAACATAGTTTGCTTACTTATACATGAATAGCCTGCAGGTCTAAGTGTTAGTAAAAGAAAGTTGTGCGGTTTCATTGAGAGTTAAATTTCACATCTCTTAAATCTTATCCTTACGTCTGCCATAGTATTCATGGAAGGGTTCAAAAATGCACACTTCCAACTATTTTAGACAAAGATTTGCAAGGTACAACTAGGTCCCCCAATATAGATTTCATATAAACTTTCATCTGGATTAACTATAGAAATACAACATCTTGGCTTTTGTGAACAACTGTCAGTGGGAACAACTGATAAATATTCTTCAGTTGAAAAAATGACTTTTCATACCAAGACAATATGAGAACACATTTTGTGGAAGGCAGAAGAGAGCAAGCCCTGTTTATTCTATTGTGTACACTGGTTATAGATTGTCATAAAGTAATGCTCCAACTTATGTCCCGTGAACTATCTGAGGTTCAGTTAGATGGGCCTGAATATCATCTTAAACTATGCCAAAATAAAAGATAGATTTTGCCAAGTAGATCAAGTAGAAATGAAGCAGCATTATTTCTGTATATCGTTCATATTAAACGAAAGAGGCAAGGTAATATTTTCAGAGAGTGCATCAAATAGTAACCATTTGTTCCGCATTGTGAACTACAAATGCAATGATTTAAAAAAAAGTAACTCTTCCAATTTCAGTAGATTGAGAATCTGTGCCAAGATTTGTTTCCCACGAGTTGAGGCATTTAAATACAGCAGTCAGAAAATAGCCCTGGAATAAATCAGACTCTGATCCATTGAGCGAGATTACCAATCCAGTTGATTTAAGATTTAATCCTGAATCGCAATATTTCAGAAAGTAATACAGTATGGGCTGAACTGACTGATTCAGAGGCAGGAATAAGGCTTTGTGCCAGCCTAAATCTCTGCATCATATCTGGAAGCATAAAATGTTTAAGCATCTCATTTTATTTACGCTGACTCTCACCAATTGAATCACACAAGATTTACAGCATTCATTTGTCTTTCCCATTTGTTGTTGCCGCATTTCGCCCACAAAACACACAATCCCTACACTTTACATTATATTCTGTGAAGTGCTTTGAGACTTCTCGAAGATGTGATGAGGCACTTTACAAATGTAATTTTGCAAGGATTATTATTATTATTAGTTATTATAAATAGAACTTTGTTTCTCCTAAATGGAGGAGGATTTTAGGCAATTATGTCTGGGTAGGAATGGGAACTTTTAAAACGTTTCCTTGGTGCAACTACAATTAATTGTTTAAAACACTGACAAGCTTTAATTGTATCCAGCAAACTAACAGAAATTCAACTACAATCAAACCTGCTTTCTGCAACCATTCAGGGGACTAAAACAAAGTGGCCTTTAAATAAGGGTGCCCTCTGAATAAGGGTTCATTGGTTTGTTAACCGTGCCTGAATTTTTTTTTAAATTCCGCAGGCCAGAAATTTCTGCAGGTTTGCGTGTAGACTCCCGCTAGACTCCTAATACATTTACCAGCAGTGAGGCAGGAAGCTGTGGGCATAACATGGGCTGCTCAGGTGTGATGTTGGTAAATGCACTAGGAGCCCACATGCTGGCCCGCAGAAATTGGTCATGTAAGTACACTTCAATTCACTTAGAACCGTCCACTGAAAAGGGAGTCAGTACTCGCGGACAGGGCTCCAAAAGAATGGCCAATGGTTGCATTAGACCGGTGGTTGCTGGAGAGATGATTTATTATGAAAAATTGGTCAGGAGTGTTCCAGGGAGACTGTTGACCGCAGGTGGTTGATTTAACAGGTTTGACTCTTGTTTCCATTTACATCATTCATTCCCAATGGTATTTCAGCTTATTCTGTTAGCTTGAATTACCTTAATTTCTACATTATAACAACAACCACAAAATTAGACTTGTATAGCATCTTTCACGTCGGGAGGATGTCCCAAAGCGCTGGACAGACAGAATTATGGACTCGAGTTGGGGTCAGGGCGGGGGAGGGTGGAGGGCAGGGGGGGAAGCAGGGAGATCGAAAGCACAGTTGAAGAGGGGGATCTTGAGGTGGATCCTGAAGGTGGCGAGGGAGGGGGCGAGACGGAGGGACTGCAGGATGGAGTTCTAGGGGGTGGGTGCAGAGGGGCGGAAGGCCCACTCGCCAATAGTGGGGCGAGCAAGGCAGGGGACGTGAAGTAAGCCGGAGCCCGCTGAGCGGAGGGAGTGAACAGGGTGGTAGGGGGTTAGGAGGTCGGAGAGGTAGTGGGGAGCAAGACCGTGGAGGGCTTTGAAGGTGAGGACCAGGATCTTGAACTGTATCCTCTGTGTGATGGGAAGCCAGTGGAGTTGGGCAAGGATGGGGGTAATAGGGTTGTGGAGCCTAGTGCGGGAGAGGACACAGGCTGCAGAGTTCTGGATGATTAATAAATGAAGTGTGTTCTTCAGCAGCATTCAGCCCTGTCAAATGCAACAAAGCAGCTGTGCTTCTATGATGGATGAATCAGGTTAGTTTGCAAATGCAAGGAAGTGTAAAACTGTGATTCCCATTCAAGCTTTTACTGACAAATACTGAATGATTTTTTAAAAAACATTATTAATATATTTATGATCTATCCTGCAATTACGTGGTATTTCCTTCAAAGATAAGGAAAAGGTATGGCCAAAAATAATTATTATAATAGTGTAATAATTATTATAAATAATATTTATTATTGTTATAAGGGGGTAATAATCTCTTCAATTTTTTTAAAATAATAATAATTTGGTTACTCAATCCATGACTGTTTGTAGGACACTGCTGTGCGCAATTGGCTGCCGCGTTTCGCGCACAAAATACAGTATATCCTGTGAAGCGCTTTGAGACGTTTCGAAGACGTGATAAGGCGCTATATCAAATGCAAGAAGTCTTCTTATTAAAATAAACAATTTTTCTCGTTTCAGGTAGTAAAAAGATAGAGGCCTTATTTTTGCAAATTCATAGTTCACAACCACATAATTCCGAGTTCTAGCTATTTGTATGTCTGAGCCCTGCTCAGTGTCACTGAACACCAGATGGCGATCCAAGAGTTAATAATGATGAGAAAGAATAGAAAGAAAAGTTAAGAGTTAAGAACAAACAAAAAGCACAACCACTGAATGCACTGAAGGAATGATGGCATTTTCAAATTGGTTTAAGGTTGAAACTCTGCTGATGATCTTTCATATTACAGTCATCAAAATTAAGCACAATAAAAGCTTTAAAACGTTCATGTGGACCCCATGAAAAAAAGAAAGAAGAACCTGTATTTTTATAGCATCTTATCAAGTCGAAACATCTCAAAGTGCTTAAAGCAATTATCATCAAGTGCAGTGACTGTTGTTTTATACATGCCCAGCAGCCATTATGCGTACACAACAAACAGTGTGAGGTGAATAACCAATTGATTTATATAGTGGGCCAACACTGCAAGAGAAACTTTGTTCAATTTTTGAACAACTTCATGAAATCTTTAACATCCACCTGAAGAATAGGCAGATGGGGCCTCGGTTTAGCTTCTTTGGCTGCACAGCACTTCTCCAGTTCTGTACTTGTTGAACTCAAGTCCCAACATGGGGCTTGAACCCACAATCTTTCGACGCACCAGCAAGCCTTCTATCATCTAACCACCTAAGCCAAGTTGGCACAAATCGTAGAAGAGGGCAAAGGGCTCCTCATTAGCTTTAGACCACAATAGAATATGTGGTGGAACCTGGCTTGCTTCTGCAGAAGGAGATGGCAATCAATTGCTTAAAAGGACTGATGAGGCTTGAAATTGCATCTTATGTAAGCTCAGTAAACCAAGAGAAACTCAAGCAGCTCCCACTTAAATCATGGCTAAACCTCTATGCTGAGCTATACAAGCTTGGAGCAGTGGGTTTGTGTTGCCCTGACTGATCTTGAATCTAACTTCACACACTGCTTTACTAACATCTCAATAATACTGAAGATCATAAAGCTGTGTATTTTTGGAAGCATAATTAATTCCACTAACAAAATACAGTGACAGAACAAGACCAGAGCTAGCTTAAAACACTAATTTACACAAGAGTGTACTGCAAGTGAATAAGTACAATCCTTTGCATATCAAGGCAGTAAACTGAAAGAGTCAGACTCAAAAAAATCTTTGCATTTGATGTAGGCCTCTCCCGCACCAAACTCCGTGACCCCATCTCCCCCATTCTCGCCCGACTTTGTTGGCTCCCTATCCTTCAGAGGATCCAGTTCAAGATCCTGGTCCTCACCTACAAAGCCCGCCACCCTACCTCTGCGACCTCCTAACTCCCTATCAACCCACCCAATCCCTGCGCTCAGCCGACTCCGGTCTGCTCCACATCCCCTGACCCACCCGCCCCACCATTGGCGGGAGAGCCTTCAGCCACTCTGCCCCCAACCTCTGGAATTCCATCACCCAATCACTCCGCCTCGCGCCCTCCTTAGCCTCCTTCAAGTCCCGCCTCAAAACCGTCCTCTTCGACCATG